CTATCTCATCTATCTAATCTATCTAATCTATCTAATCTATCTAATCTATCTAATCTATCTCATCTATCTCATCTATCTAAACTATCTAATCTATCTAATCTATCTAATCTATCTAATCTATCTAATCTATCTAATCTATCTAATCTATCTAATCTATCTAATCTATCTAATCTATCTAATCTATCTAATCTAACTAATCTAACTAATCTATCTAATCTATCTAATCTATCTAATCTATCTAATCTATCTAATCTATCTAATCTATCTAATCTATCTAATCTATCTAATCTATCTAATCTATCTAATCTATCTAATATATCTAATCTATCTAATCTATCTAATCTATCTAATCTATCTAATCTATCTAATCTTTCTAATCTATCTAATCTATCTAATCTATCTAATCTATCTAATCTATCTAATCTATCTAATCTATCTAATCTATCTAATCTATCTAATCTATCTAATCTGTCTAATCTGTCTAATCTATCTAATCTATCTAATCTATCTAATCTATCTAATCTATCTAATCTATCTAATCTATCTAATCTATCTAATCTATCTAATCTATCTAATCTATCTAATCTATCTAATCTATCGAATCTATCTAATCTATCTAATCTATCGAATCTATCTAATCTATCTAATCTATCTAATCTATCTAATCTATCTAATCTATCTAATCTATCTATCTATCTATCTATCTATCTATCTATCTATCTATCTAATATATCTATCTAATCTATCTATCTATCTATCTATCTATCTATCTATTTATCCATCTATCTATATATCCATCTATCTATATGTCTTTCTTATCTATTATCTATCTTATCTGGCTTATCTATCTTGTCTTTCTTGTCTATCTTATCTATCTTATCTTTATTATCTATCTTGTCTATCTTTTCTTATCTTTCTTATCTTTCTTATCTATCTTACCTATCTTACCTATCTTACCTATCTTACCTATCTAAGCTATCTAATCTATCTAATCTATCTGCTCTATCTGATCTATCTAATCTATCTAATCTATCCAATCTATCTAATCTATCTAATCTAATCTAATCTAATCTCATCTAATCTAATCTAATCTAATCTATCTATCTATCGATCTATCGATCTATCTATCGATATATCTATCTATATTTTTATCTATCTATCTATCTTTCTATCCATCTATATTTTTTTTATTTATTTCTTATCTATATTATTTATTTTATCTATCTTCTCTGGCTTATCTATCGTGTCTATCTTGTCTAATCTATCTATCTAATATAATAAAATCTAATCTAATCTAAATCTGATCTAAATCTGAATCTAATCGAATCTAATCTAATCCAATCTAATCTAAATCTTATCTCATTTTTTCTTATCTTATCTTATCCTATCTATCTATCTATTTATTTATCTACTTGTTTACGTTTATTTATTTATTTACTGGCAAAAAAATATCCTTATAGTTTTGTGTATATGTATATATATATATATATTTATATACACACACAAAACGTTATATATATATGTGTGGTACCCCCCAAAGACCCACCCATGTGGGCAATTTGGCGGTATCTACACCGCTTTTCACACATTTCTTACTTCAAACCTTAGGGCATTTTGGTGGTCAAAAGAATGCATCTTTTGGCAACTTGCTGCAATCCCACGCTTCCCATACTACATCGGATTCAGGATTCCAGGTCCAGAATAAGACTTGTTGAATCCAAAAGGGGGCGGATTCAAGATTCAAACTCCTTGAATCCAAAGGAGCTGGACTCAAGATTCAAGATCCAGACAAATTTCTTCAATCCAAGGTTGAATCTTGAATCTTGAATCCAGAGAGGCTGGACCCAAGAAGTTTTCCCTGAGCCTTGAATCTTGAAGCTTGACTCCAGGTACTTAGAGCATTGTCAGCCGCTAGCAATTGGAATTTCTAGCAAATGCCTGGCCCTTCTGCTAAGGACATACCCCTTGAGATTTTGTGGCGTTGCACCCTTTCAATTCCAGCATTCTATCTAAAAAAAAATTGTGTTTTTTAGATGTCAAGACTAAGAAACACAAAAACTGAGGTAACACCAAAAACAAAGCATGAACTTCAGACATAACATTCTCTGAAAAGTGTGTGGTTGTTCTTTCTGTTTTCTCGGGGTTTTGTTGTAATTCATATCCACATCCTTTAAGAGTAGAAGTATTGCGTAAGTCTAAATTGGGCTGGTAAGCAAAGCACACACTTGCAAGTATGCAGATTAAATCAGACATCATGTCTACTCAGCCACCATGTCTACTCGGCAACCGCTCATGGACATCATCCAGGTGTGCATTTTTTGCTGGTGTTCTCATGGTTTGAGCACCCTCTCAGAAAGTTACCTGAAACCATGGGAATAACTACAGGGCAGCCAAGAGTAGAAAATACAACAAGGAAATAAGTTTCAGCATGGACTATCATGGACTATCAGAACTTTGAAGTTTGTTGTCAAAGAAAACCCTGCAATATAGGCCTTGTGCGGCAGTATTGCTCAAAGAATATGACATTCCTTGCATAAAGTGACATCATTTGGTACAGTCCCCTTGCACAAGGGAATGCAGGATTTCTTTGGAAGGAATGCGGAACAAAATGAGAGGGAGGCTGAACATCATTAAAGGATGTATTGCGTTTGTCCAAATGTGGCATTTTGCTACAAGAATACTGCTTAATACCTTGTTTTCAGGGCAATTATATATGTTGAAGAAGGTAAGCCTTTCCTTAAAAAATGCCATGCCAGAAAAATGAGAGGAAGGCTGAGCTCCATTATATAATAAATGTATTTCATTTTTCCACACTTATAGTTTTTTTGCAAGAATAGTGTTTTTTAAGGAACCATTTTGTCTTCAAAGCAGATTGTAACCTGTAAGCAGCATGTTCCATTAACAGCAATCGTTCTGCTTCAAGGAATGCAGCAATGGGCATCGACCATTGCACTTTTCACACCAATACTCAATGCTAAACAACACAATGCATATTGTGTCGGAATCTGCTGGTTTGAAAGAAATACTGCATGATTGAACGAAGGCTAAATAGTTGTCTGAAAGGAAGACTGCACTTCTTCAGAAAGGAACACTACATGTTTATAAGAATGCTCTGTATTTTGTAGGGATACTGCTTCTTTAAAGGGCTCTACTGTTTTTCTTTGTTCTTCACTTTTGTCTACTGTTCATATGTTCTACTGTTTTGCAAGGAGATCTCTATACTATATAATACTATGTATTTTTTTTGTATGTGCATATGTTATTTTTATGGCGTTATTAGCATATTATATATATGCAATATAATTTGCATACATACAGTATATATGTGTGTGTGTATAGTGGACCGTTTGTGGCGTATTGGACTTAGTGGGGCACACAGAGTCCGCGAGCCCGTAAGGATTGACACAGAATCGAGACCCTCACCTGAAAGGTGGGGACAAATCGTTCTTGACGCTGCATTAGCTACTGATCCGAGATTTGAATCATGATGCAATCATAAACCTTTTTTAAACAGGAACAATCCCCCAATAAATACCATCATTGGCGTCTTGAACACTACTCATATGGGTTTCTTGGAAATTTTGAACCTATGGCGCCCAAATCGATTGGGACCCAAGTGGAGATGAGTTGTGACGCTGAAAGGGCTGCCTAGGTGTTCTCAAATTCACTGACTCCCGGATGAGGATCCTCTGAATATTTGATGATCTGATCTATGTATAATGACTATAATACAGACATGTTTGTGGCCTGGCTGGGTGCCTGGGTTCACAAATCATGCATAAAAGCAAGAGATAGGGAGGGAGAGAGAGGGAGGGGAAGGGAGGGAGGGAGGGAGGGAGGCAGCGAGAGAGGAGGGAGGGAGAGGGAGGGAGAGAGAGAGAGAGAGAGAGGACAAGCAGCACCGCAGCATCACGCGACTTATACTGGGCGAAGGCAGCCCCAAAATCAGAAACACCTACTAACACATGATACCACTACATGTCACTATATACGTGTTTAGGATGAGCTGTGAGTTGGGCACACCATCCAGAACATCCTGTATTTTTAGCGGCCCTGCCGCTGCCCAGGCAGCCCGCGAGTTGGCCGAACGTGGCATACAGGTTCCGCCCAATCGTCTTCTTCATGACTTTGGACTGCCCGGCTGGATGGTTGGAAGGTGGTGGATCATTTTTCTAAGTACCAAGGGGCATTATGGATCAACCACTGTTGGTCACTACGGGCCAAGCACATTTCACTCTATGATATCCGCCCTTCTTGTGGAGCGGCTTCTATCATCCACTGCAAGCGCGGCCAGTGTATAGAACTGAAGCATAATGGCTAATGGGGGAGTGTAAAAGCACATGGTTGAACCGAGAGAAAACAAAGATTCTGGGCGCAAGCAAAGGTCATTGCCCTCGGCTTCTTTCATTGCACGCGACTGGTTTTGCAGCACCTTGCAGTGATTCAGTCCACTTGCAAAATTCCCCACTTGTCCAAGCAGGTTCGAGGGTTTCGGGCGATAACTGCCGGGCACTCCAAAATGTAATTATAGCTGATGAATCATTCAAGCCTTGGATGAACGCATCCCATCTCAAACTGAGCTGGACATTCCCTTCCTGCACTTCCCTGTTGGTCCCCAGTTTCTTCATGTTTGTGGCTTTGAGTTTTTTCCAGTTTCTTCCCAAGACATATGTTCTGGAGGAAACAGGCCCCAAAAAAGTTTACCACAGGTTGAACAGATTGAGAAAGGTTTTGCCACGAACCCTAACATCGACATATCAAGTGGTATCTATCTTTCATGTTTGTCGCCCCGGCCTTTCCGCAGGAACCAAAAGAATGGATCGTTTTTTGAAGAAGTTGCAGTCAGATCCATCACTCCTGAAGAAGGACGGTCGGGCGGTTGGAAGCAGAAAAGTTGGGAGGGAAAAAGTTCTTCTATGGTTGCAATATGTTTCAATCAATTGGGATCAATTGGGTTTGTTTGAAATCGGGCATCCTTCTCGGCATCCCCGAGACCCATGGTTGAGAAAAATGATCATAATAGAATTCAGAGTGATCATTTTGGGGTATCCACTATGTTTTGTCCCAATCTACCACAATACATAGAGGTTCCTCCTAAAATGCGGGAACCCCAAAATACTAAAAATTAGATCAGATTAGACTATTTTAGTCTTGAAACCCATGGTTTTGGGGATCCTTTAGTTTGAGAAACCCGCATATCCCCCATGTTTCGACAACCCCGTCCTTCAAGACACTCGCACCGCAACTTTTCAAAACGGTAGGAAGTGTCGAAGAGGCGCATAGATTCTTGCAACGGCGACGAAGCGGACCGTGGCTTGCACAGATTGCGGGAAGATGTTCAGGTATTAATTAATATCCCAACACTTGGGATAATTGGTAACTATCAAAGGAAGTTTAGTTCGAAAACTTCCAGTCACGGACAAATGTCCAGGGGCAGTCTTTTCATCATGTCATCAAAGATCACCATCAAGTCATCATGTGATCATCATATCAACAACATAGTGAGCAAGAGCAGTTCGCGTGTGGGAGCAGTAGAGAAGAGTATAATAAGCATTCGGAAGCGTGTGATTTCATAGGTGACAAGTGCACTTTCGGGCGCGAAACCGTGTTTTTTTTCGGGTATAGTGTGTGACTCCTGGGGTGGCCGAAGTAGGGTCTCTGTTTCTGCGGTTTCCCGGCTCGATCTCAAAAAAAAGTGCAAGAGGTTATGGCAAGAGCTCGATTTGCATTTCAAAATGTTAAAAATTGAAGCCTGTGGGGCATTTTTGGAAGATGAGGCCGGCAAAATAAATGTGCACAAAACTGAAACGAGAGCTCGATGTTACAAAAAATCATAAGAAACTGGCACGTTCGGAGTAGCGCCGGATTTGTGTGGTGGAGTCTCGCGAATGTTGGTCGATTTGGTGTGACGCTCCTGCTATGCGGTTTTGCGACCGAATGTGACGAAACGCATTCGAACTGTTGCGTGCAGCAAAGCATGAGTGATGCTGAGAATGAATGAATGAATGAATGAATGAATGAAATGAAATTAAACGAAATGAAATGAAATGAATGAATGAACGCATGAAATGAATGAAAGAAATAAATGAATGAAATGAAATGACATGACATGAAATGAAATGACATGACATGAAATGAAATGAAATGAATGAAATGAAATGACATGAAATGAAATGACATGAAATGAAATGAATGAAATGAAATGACATGACATGAAATGAAATGAAAGGAAACGAAATAATGAATGAATCAATGAATCGAAGAATCGATGAATCGATGCATGAATGAATCAATGATGGAATGAATGAAATGAATTAATGAAAGAAATGTATAGAAATGTATGAATGAAAGAATGAGTGAAATACTCCCTGGCAAAATAACATGGACAAAAAATATGGTTTTTTGGGGGTCCATGTTAGTTGGGGGGCGTTTCTGGTGTGGGATGGTCCAGGTTAACCTCAAAAATAACGATTTTGGCATTTTCAGAGATTAACATGTAACTTGGCACTTTTTACGCGGTATTTACACGGTTTTGGGGTTTTGGCCCTTTAACATGGAATATGAAGAGAAAATCGATGTTGAAGCCCAAGTTGCAATGATCCATGTTAACCAAAGAAAAAGACGCAGTATGTTGCAGGTTTTGGTTTTTTGGACCATTTGACATGGAACCTTCCAGGGATCACCAATTATCTGCAACATGGTTTTCATTTTGCTTGATTTAGGCCTAGAAGCGTTGCAAAGCAACAATTTTACTGAAAGAAGATTTGTCGGGAAGTTTATTTCCTTGAGTTTGGGGTTTCCAAATTCTCCTCGCTTCGTCGGATAAAAAAGAATTAGGTGCAAGATGGTGCAAGATGTTCCATATTAACCGCCCTTTGTCCCCCAATTCACGGTGAAAATTGCGTTTCTTCCAAAATCTCCAGGGTGAATGGAAATTCCGGAAGGGGACTTGCCCTTTAAAATCTTTATGAGAACAAAAAACCATAACTTTTACACAAGGGCATCCTTGCTGAAATAGAAGGCTTGGGTTTCCCCGGTTCTTCTCCCAAATTGTGGTTCCTCCTTTTTTTGGCACAAAACTGTGGTTCAAAGGGGGGTCCCCTTTCTGAGACCCAGAAATAGGAGCGTCCTATTGAAATTGATCCGTTTTGAATGGATGAGTTTTTCTTGGAAAATTGGGTACCGTAGTTGATCGCAAAAAAATGTTTCCACTTTGTCGTTGTACAAAATGTTCCATGTTAAGCGTTTTGGGCTTCAATTGCCCTGGGCTCAAAATGTTTTCAGAAAAGGCACACTTTGGAAGATTTCAGGAACGGCCTTCCTTGGTTCAGATCTAGGCCTAAGAGAGTTGGAAATGAATCTTGGCCCTTTCAAAACTGAATGGAAAGTGCTGGGCCCCTGAAGTCTTGATTTCTGCATGGTATCCACTTTGTCAATCAAAAACGAAACGCGCGCATGATGCTCCATGTTAACCACTTCTTTGGGATGAACCCCACTTCCTGAATCATCATTCTTCACCGGGTTGCTGCAGTTGGGATCATTTTGCTTGATTTAGGCCTAGAAGCGTTGCAAAGCAACAACTTTACTGAAAAAAGATTTGCCGGGAAGTTTATTTCCTTGAGTTTGGGGTTTCCAAATTCTCCTCGCTTCGTCGGATAAAAAAGAATTAGGTGCAAGATGGTGCAAGATGTTCCATATTAACCGCCCTTTGTCCCCCAATTCACGGTGAAAATTGCGTTTCTTCCAAAATCTCCAGGGTGAATGGAAATTCCGGAAGGGGACTTGCCCTTTAAAATCTTCATGAGAACAAAAAACCATAACTTTTACGCAAGGGCATCCTTGCTGAAATAGAAGGCTTGGGTTTCCCCGGTTCTTCTCCCAAATTGTGGCTCCTCCATTTTTGGGCACAAAACTGTGGTTCAAAGGGGGGTCCCCTTTCTGAGACCCAGAAATAGGAGCGTCCTATTGAAATTGATCCGTTTTGAATGGATGAGTTTTTCTTGGAAAATTGGGTACCGTAGTTGATCGCAAAAACTGTCTCCACTTCGTCATTGTACAAAATGTTCCAGGTTAAGCGTTTTGGGCTTCAACTCCCCTGGGATCAAATTTGTTTTTGGAAAAGGCACATGTAACTCTATGTACCTAGACATCCAATCGTACTAGAAAAAAGTACCCCCCTCATGGTTTCGTACTAGTGTTCATGAAAACGCGTGAAATATGGCAAATCGGTCAAATTTTGTTAAAATAGTGATCTTCGTATCTTTTTTTTAAACGTATTACTTTTTAGGGGCACCAAGCACAAACGGTCAGAAAAACAGAACGCAACTCGAGCGCAATTTTGCGCAACTCAAGCGCAATTTGAAAAAGTAAAAATACACTAGAAAGATTGTTTACTTTTTTGGAAGGCGACCACTTTTTTGTGAAACGTCATCGAATTAATTCGTGATACTTTTTTCTAGTACAAATGGACGTCCAGGTAACTCTCTAGCTCAGGATTTGTAACCGTTTGTATACTTGAGCCCCATCAAAAATTATACTTTCCGATGGGGTCCAAACTTTATAGAGTCACCATCTTCTTTGGTTCAGATGTTTTACGACTCAAAGCCGAAGAGTACATGTTGTTCGGGTGGAACTCTTCAACAATATGCTGCACCAGCGCATGACATTGCAAGCTAGCCGGAGCTTCCAACAATTTGGCAGTGGGCTCGATAGACTTCTTTGTGACTCAGATCAGTTAGGTAGATTTGAGCCCCATTCAAATTATACTGTTGGATGGGGCCCAAACTTTATAGAGTCACCATCTTCTTTGGTTCAGATGTTTTACGACTCACAGCGGAAGATTACATGTTGTTCGGATAGAACTCTTGCGCCCTATGCTTCACCACCGCATGATGTCACAAGCTCACCGGAGCTTCGAACAATTTGGGCGTGGGCTCGATAGAATTCTTTGTGGCTCAGATCAACATTTGAGGATTTGAGCCCCATCAAAAATTATAGTTTTGTATAGGGCCCAAACTTGATAGAGCGCTAACATTTTTTAGTTCAAATGTTTTGCGACTCCAAGCGGAAGATTACGTGTTGTTCGGATGGAACTCTTGCGCAATATGCCTCACCAGAGCATTGGGCTCGAT